GTGAATCATTTCTCGATAGTATAATGACAAAGGCTTTCTTATTGGAAAAATAACAGAAACTGAAGGTAATTATACAGCCTCCTTATCTTAAAAAAAAAAATAAATTCAGCTATCAAGAGGCTTTACTAAATGCCAAAATTACTAGAGCTAGATTTCATATAGAAAGAACCAGTCAAAGAATAGAAAATTTTATGTAAAACTTTTTCCAGTTTCATTATTACATCAAATTGACAATATAATGACAATTATTTGTGCTGTCATTAATTTGAGTCCAATTTTTAGTGATGAGAAATTCTGGAGTTTTTTTATAGAAACGATATGTGCAATTAAAATACCTTATATTTGTAAATATTTTGATTATTTTATTTTTTAAACCTATTACAAAAAATTGTTTCTTGAAGGTTCATTTGATTATGTATTTATATTTTGTACTAAAAAAAAAGGTAATAAAAATACATTTATATTTTAATTGTTCTTTATTTCACAAATTTGGGGTAACAGATGGTCAAAATACTTATTTTGTAACTGTTGTAAAATGCTTGAGGTAAACTCATTATCAAATTTAAGAGTTAAAATTAAGATTTTTAAATTTGCTGGAATATAATGTAAAATCACATTTCTGCAAATTCAAAACAGCCATGCCCAGTTGTATTATTTCTTTAAAATAACTTCATTCTTATTTATAGTTAAATATGTACATGATTTGTTAAATTCTGCTGCAGAGGTTTCTCTTTCCTAAAAAGTACGATTTTGAAGTGTATTTAAGTATATAATAATAAATATCTTGTTAAAAAAAATATTTAATTAGTAAGTGTTTAAAAAATATATATTAACCCTTTTTTAACTGTATGTATTCAAATAAATAAATAACAGTTCACTTTGTTTACCTGTTTACAATATTTTTTGGAGTGTCTTTACTGTAGGTATAAAGATTATAATACTGAGAACCTGTTATTCTATATTTTCTTTCAAATTGCCAGATCAACTCATCTTTGCTTTTTAATTATGCAAGCGTGCAGTTATTTGCAGTTATTTTCTGAGATTAAATCTTCTCACAATATTCTTTTTTTATTTCTTTCTGATTTAAATTTATAATGAATGTTTTACACGTATGTTCATAAATTTTCATCATCTGTTCAGAAACTTCATTAACAGATACACTGGCTGTTTGATGATTGTCTTTGTCTAGTCCTGAAATTTAAAAATATGTAGTTACTTAATGTTATGAATAATGAAATAATTTGATATAAACACATGATTAATGAACTTTCACTACTTATAGCTTGCAGCTTGCTTATGTTTTGCTAATACAGACTTAGGAGCTGCAAACCAGAGTTCTTTATAGATATAATCCGTTTTGTCAGACATAATTTATCTGTCGGTGTAAATAGAGTGGGATTTAAGGTACTCTAGCTCTATATATAGCTATCATAGTCCTCCTATTAAACGGCAATACTCAATAAAAATTTAAGCCAAATGTGTATGTACATCAAAATGATATAGGACAATTTTGGGTTTTACTAAAGTTTGCAAAAAAATGAAAAACTCTTTTATTATGCACAAAATTGATTCAGAAAAATTACATCTATTTTTTTTATATATTCTATTTAAGTATGTAAGTGTTGTATTTTGTTTGATTTAAGTCGTCAAATCTTAAAAACATGTCAGCTCATTCAATATTAAGAAATTTAAAATAAAACTTAAAAAACAAAATATTCAACTTGTCAGTATAGTTTGTGGTTAAAATAAATTTATATAATATAAAAATCTTCACGTTTTACAATCGTCTCTACATCCACAACTGCAAAACCAATACAACTCACTCCAACCTTCAATTGGTTTCAGTAAATGAGACTAATATCATAACTACAATGTGAGGAAGAGTAGGAACATCAAAGCAGTTGCAAGAAAACAGCTAGGCAGGAGAAATAACTATATACTATAATATCTGAAGGGATAAAGATATTTAATAAACTACCTGATAGTATGAACTCTATCTAAGCATAGTTGCATGTAAAAGACGACTCAGAAAATTGATATTTGATATTTCTTCGAAGAAAGAAACTGTAAATCAGTGTTTGTCTCTCTGTATTGTTACTTATGCCCATTTTAGTTCTATTTATATTAAGTTTTTATATTACGATACTTGTGTGATACTTCTCTGTAATTAACTAACTTTTAAAATCTACTTGTCAAGCCAAGACAGCTCTAAATCGGGCTTTTGAATATCATATTTATATTTATGTAATTGTATTTACAATAAAGAATTTATTATTATAATTCATAAAATTATTTTAAACGTATTTACCTCGTACCTACTTGTATTATGATACTTACGTGAAAAATAAAATGTTACTTTTTATATATCTGTAGCTGGTCTTACAACCCTTTATAGAGCAATTTACAATTTAAATTCAAAAACAAAATAAGTTTTTATATTCAAATAAAAAAACTTAAAACAGAACATAAGTATAATTAAAACTTGATATTGATAAAATAAAATTCAACAAAATGTTCGACTGAGCAATGACATTCACAACAAAATCTCAACTAGACAAACTTTCTTCTAAACCGGTTCTGTAAAAGGTTTGTTTACCAGTGAGCATTCACAATTGAGACAAAACACAAACACTACATGTACTAGACAAAGAGAAAACATCTCCCAGTTCGACCCGCTTTTCATCGTGTTATTTACGTATGGATAAGCAGTCTATATAAGCTATATATGTCATTGATTACAAAAAGCACATGACAGACGACATATGTAAGACATTATTGTTAGTTAGGTTAACCAACCTCTACAAAAATAAAATAACTAAATTTAGATTTGCCATTGTGCGAATAAATGTCGCTACTTGTATCTTTAACAATTATATAGTGTCTAACTAGAATCAACAATGTAATCACATCTCTATGAAACTGTAAAATAATACATCAGTTACACGTTTCATTCGAATCCATATCACATAAATTTGTGAGAATAGTTTTTTCAAATATTGTGTCAGAGCATTTGATTAAAGCAATATAATATGATTTATTGTCAAAGATGTTACAGTTCTCTTTTCCAACATTTTATTTGGCTCATTAACGATTTTATTAATATGTTCTATATTCATTAGAAACATTGTTGTACACAATTATATATTTTTTTTAATTTACTTGTATAGCGGCCGTTAGAAATAAGTAGAGTAACACATTACAATTATTCATAAAACAATACTAAACTATTTTTTGTGTGATAGCCTCTCTTATTTACATTTAAAACCTCTCCTCTCTTTGAGATATAGTGATTAACCTTGTATCTTTCTATGATCATGCGCATACATTAAAATATCATCCAAAGATGCTAAACCGTGTAAAATAGGAATGTACTTAATTTTCAGCTACGAAGTCCACCTTTAAAACTTTACATATTATTAAAAGAATGTGAAGATAGTACCATCCTACTGGTTGACCTTAAGTCTTCTCATATAAAAACATAATTTAAAAATCAACCAAGGCCAGCGCAATCTTCAAGGACAAACAGCAACGCGCATTAAAACAATTCAATCAAGGTTAAATCTCAAGGCCTAAAGTGAGATTCCTCACGTTTCTCAACTAGTCACTTACCACTACTTTTAGTTTCATAGTAGTCTTGTTCTTGTATAGGACAATGCAAATGTATCCGCATTACAAAATACTTTTGTTCAAAATGCGGTCATGTACACTTCTTAAATTGACCCCTTAAATTACGTTGGTCAAACTTCACACTGTTTTTTTTTAAGCTATACTACCTATCTTGCTGATCTTGGTATAGTTTGGGAGCTTAAACCTGTCAAATTTTATACACGATATAATTTTCCATTATATTTTATTATGCCAATTTTTCTTAAATTATATTGTTGTTAAAAATACATGCAGCCTAGCTGGAAACCAAGGGGACCATTTAAGGTGAGGAGAAACATCAATATTTAATATGGATTTCTAATTTATTTTTAATGGTAACTTGCGCTGGTTAAATTATTTTCTAAAACAAATCTCAAAGCCATAAACACAATATATTATGTGCGGCCGTTTATATTTTGACAACAACTACTCATTTGACTAATACCTCACAAGAGGTATTGAATTACGTCAAAAGAAAAAAGCAGAGATAGAAAATATTGTTAACACTCTACCTTTGATTTTGCCTACTAAGGACTGGTTTCGTCCTTATTACGACTCTTAAGCAAGAAATATAAATTTTTCACTTCAGTCTCTAATGGAATATGATGTTAATATCAAATTCGATCAAACACAATAACGGCGGGTTGAGCATGTGTAGATATTAAATGAGCGAAAATGGTATCGCTATCCATACTATGTAAGCATAATCAAAGGTCGCTGCAGTACCTAGTTCAGAGACTAAGTGGAACTAGATAATTCAATACCTGGTGAGGTATTATCCAAAGGAGTAGTTGTTGTCAAAAGATAAACAGCCACACATATATTGTGACTATGGCTTTGATATGTTTTTGATGTATTTTATATATAGATCACATTTGAGTTTGGAATTATTTCCTTTTTTAAAAATAGCCCACCTAGCTTTTGTTGCACCTAGTCTCTGAACTAGGTACCCCAGCGACCTCTGATTTTGCTTACTCTTTATAGATGGCAATACCATTTTGGCTCGTTGAATATCTACACTTGCTCAACCCGCCGTTATTGTGTCCTATCGAATTAGGTATTGTCATCAGACTCCATTAGAGAGAATTTATATTTCTTGCTAATGAGTCCTAATAAGGACGTAAACGGTCCAAGAATGACTTTCTCCTTAGTAGGCAAAATCAAAGGTAGCCTTTTGTCGTAATTAAATATCTGATGAGGTATTAGCAAAAGGAGTAATTGTTGTCAAAAGAGAAACGGTCGCACATAATATATTTTGACTATAGTTGTGAGATTTGGTTGATGTATTTTACATCTTGGTCACATGTGAGTAAGGAATTATTTTCGTTTTTTAAAGTAATTCATGTTTATTCTAGGATACTGTCTTAGGAGGTTCTATGGTACGACCAGGGGTACCAGGTCCTAAGGGTGAACCAGGCACACAAGGCCCAGTAGGTTCTAGGGGTGAAAGAGGTCCTTCGGGATCAAAGGGTACGCACGGTGAACCAGGCCTTAAAGGAGAACGAGGAGATAGAGGTTTGTAATAATCTTAATTATTCAACATGTAAAACTTTGTCAGATTTTTCAATGGTATTAAATAATTTACAGGACTGCCAGGTGATAAAGGACCCAAAGGAGATAAGGGAGATGAGGGATCACCAGGTATAGACGGCATTCCCGGAACACCCGCCAAAAACGGAGAGAAAGGAGAAAAAGGCGACTTAGGAAACCAGGGTCCACCAGGGCCACCTGGACCATCGGGAGTCCATATTGCTGGCAATACAGCAGAAGATATTATTAAACTACTGCCGGGGATTAACGGAGAGAAAGGCGAGCCTGGAGAAAGAGGATTAAAAGGTAAAATAAATGTGATTAAGTCCAAAAGAACTTTTTAAAAACAAATTTCAAGAATATAAATTTTATTAACTCTTACTACATTGAATTCTAAATTAATAATGAATTGTTTCTCATAAAATAATAGAAAGGTGGAATGAACGTGAGAATGCAAGCTTGCATTCTCCTGGCATCAAGTTACACAGAGTTCGCTGTACTGCGACCATAACTCCTCCGCCGTTAGACGGAAATTCTGGGGCTGGCAACAGGATTTTGGGGTTTCTTGACTTCTGCTCTTGATTTTGGGAACTTCACTTCCTTTCCTATGAAATAATTTAAAGATTCCAAAAATTATAAAAATTGCAAGTATTACATAAATTAAAATAGTCCAAGCACTTATTTGATTTGGAAGGATTATATCTGAAATTTCACTTATTTTGTGTTTTTGAGCTTCTAATATGTTTTTAATGTTTTTAACGTCATCTAAATTAATCGAATCTAATTTAATCGGCACGAATTTAACTTTTAAGTCTATTATAAGTTTATTTTTAATGTTTGAGTCTGGAAGGTTAATTAATTTAAAGTCTTTTTGATAATTTTGATAATTATGAATTTGGGTACCACTTATGTTTACGTCACAGTCCCCACCAAGTTCTAAAACAAAGGTTCCTCAGAGGGGGATGCTGTCTTTATTGATTCCGCACTTTTGGATAGCTACAGTTTCTTTCGGGGTTGTGATGATCCAATGGTTCTTTTCCAGTTTTTGAATTCTTAATTTGGGCATCTGGACCAGCACCTGTTCACAAGACGTGACGTTGTTGAAATAGCGGAGCATTTGAATTTCACATGGGGTATCTTCTGTAATTGTAACTGGACTGTTCTGTTTACACAAGTATTCCTCTGGAGTAATTTCTTCACATTTTTCGTCGAAAAATATGTAGGAGTGGTCATTTAAAATGAGGTATTTGGTTTGAGGAATGATTATTTTAAAGGAATTTTTTATTGGGGTAGGTAAGGCATACATGTGATAATAACTGTAAATTTCGCTCTCTACTATGAGTATTTCAAGAATAAAAATTATTTGGTATCCTTTACTGTAACTTTTAATTTCGATTATTTTCTCAAACATTAGAATATTTTTTAATTTTCCTTCAAATGGAAGTCTATTAACTTTTAATTGTTTACTAATTAACATTATTTTGGCTAGAAGCTCATGAGGTTCAATTATTGAATTGTGAAATGTATTCAGTTTAGAAAATGAAATGGCTACTTCAATCTTCTCTAAAATATTAAAAATTAATTGATAAACTGGGATTATTTGTGAAATAACTGTATTAGTGACAAGGTACTGATAGTCAGAATTTTCATTATTTAATAAATGTTCAATTTTTTCTATTCTGTTTAATAGGATTTGTTCGTTATGAGCCAGGGTACTCGTGCTATTTTTAAAGTGATTTATAGAATTTTGTAAAAGTATAATTTGACTTGCAGCTAAATTTTTTAGTTTTGATTGGTTTTCTGAAAGTAGTGCTATTGCTTTATCGTACTTTTTAGCATCATCTTGATCTAAATTGCCTGTTAAAGATCTAATAATTGAGCCAAGTCCGTTTAATAATCCTCTTTTGTTTCTATTGTGATTTAATGGATTTCACTGATTTAATTGATTACTTTTTTTTGTTCTAAATTTTTTATTAGATTACAAGCATTTTGAAATTCATCAATTGGCTTGGAATTTGTATTATTTCGATAAATTGATTGTTGTAATTATCTAAAATTTGTTTTAATTGTTTCAAACTCTTTAACTGCGTCTGAAATATCAAAGATTTGGATAAATGACCAAAAATCTATTTTATTTTGAGCATTACCTAATTTGTAGGGCAAAAGGCCAGGGTTATTATTAAGGTTATGGAATTTGGGATAGGTTACTCCGCCGCAGAGGTGGATGGATAACCTGTAACAAGTGGAGGTTGTTTTAATTCTTTTATATGGATTATTTCTTTTTTGTTCTTATTTCGTTTTTCGGTAATTTCTACTTTATTTCTGCCTAAGAGATTAGTGATTTCGTATGGACCAATGAATTTATTATTTTTCTTACTACGATGTTGAGAATTTTGTTTAAATACTATTTGACCTAATTTAAAATCATTATTTATGTCTTCTTTCTTATTTCTTTTGTCAGTTATTTTTTGTTTTTGATTTTCTAAATTTTTTCTTACATCATTATATATATGTTTAAGTTTTTTCTTATGATTCTCAGCATAATCTGTAAAAAATGCCGTTGGTATAAAAATTTCGTTAGGGTTCCGTGAGTCTGTATGTCCAAAGGTTAGTTCAAAAGGGGTATAATTTGTCGAGCTATGTATTGAATTGTTATAACCTAGGATAGCATAATTTATTAAATCGTCATTGTCGTTTGGATAAGTTTCTTTTAGCAATCTAAGGTGCTCTATTAAACTTGAATTAAATCGTTCTGCTATACCATTAGATTCATGGTGCGCTACTGTGGTAAAATGAATTTTGATTTTGTGCAAATTTAAAATTTCTTTAACGGTTTCGTTATTGAATTCGGTTCCGTTATCTAATATTAATTTTTCTGCTACACCAAAAGAAGAAAAATATTTTATTAATGCTTTGCATACGTAAATGGCTGTTTTGCCTTCAATATGATAAGCTTGTGCGAATTTTGAGAACGAGTCTATAATAATGAAATAAATGTTATTATCATAATAAAAGAGATCTGTATGTACTATTTGAAAAGGTTTCGATGCGGTTTCGGTCACTATTAGGGGTACATAAGGTGGGTATCTATCGTACTTGGCACGTTGGCAAATATCGCAAGAATTTATATAATCCGATATTGTTTTTTTCATATTTTTCCAGTAATAATTTCGTTTTAAATATTCGTAAGTTTCAACAATACCACGATGGTTATTTTTACCTTCGTGATGATGTTTAGTTAACATGATTTGTTCCTCTTTTTCGGCCACGGTATTTATTCATTTTAAACATCTAATTAATTTTGGGCCTTTTTCCGAGAATTTTTCTAAATATACTTTATTAAAATTTTGATATAGAGAGTCGTTATGAAAATGTAAATAGTATGTTCTCTTCATAATTATTGTATAGTCTTTTAAAAATTCTAAAATTAGGTTTTAATAATTTTCAATAGGAATTTTAACATTTATAATTTTGTGGTTTTCATATGTTTCTTGAGTAATAGTTAGTTTAGGATATGGTTGAGGTGTAACTATAATTTGATTCACTTTATCGTTTATTATTGCGTCCAATATTCTTATACTGTCATTAGTAGTTTCGTTATAAGTACTGTGTTGAGTTGAGTCAGAGTCGTCACTGATCTGATTGTCAGCGGGTTTAATTTGAATGTCAGAAATAATTGAAATTTTTGGTTGATCGTTAGTACTTGTCGAGGGTTCAACAGGTAGTTTTTCCTCTAGGAGGTTGTTTAAAAATTGATCTAGTTCGCTTGGATCTCTAATTTTACCTGGATTATTAATTATTGATTCGTTTTCTAACGCATTAATTACTACTCGTGATAACGCATCGCAATTTGTATTTAGGGTTCCTTTTTTATATACAATATCATAATCGAATTCTTCTAAACGGAGTCTCCAACGCATTAATTTTGAGTTTGGTTCCTTAAGATTAAATAGCCAAATTAATGGTATGTGGTCACAATATATGGTGAAACGCACACCCCATAAATAAGGACGAAAAGTTTTGCAAGCCCAAACTATGGCAAGCAATTCTCTTTCTATCGTACTATATTTTTGTTCCGATTCGTTTAGAGTCCTTAACGCATAAGCGATTGGTTTATCGGAACCTACAGAACCTTGTAAAAGTACTGCACCTAAAGCTACACTAGATGCATCTGTGGTAAGTACAAAAGGTTTCGAAAAATCTGGATATTGGAGTATGGAAGAATTGATTAACAAATGTTTACAGGTATTAAATGACGAAATAAAATTTTGATCATGTTTTTCTTTAGAATTTTTCTTTAGACATAAGGTTAGAGGTTTTGTTATTTTATCAAAATCTTTAATATATTTCCGGTAATAACCTATTAAACCTAGAAAACTTTTAATTTCCTTTTGTGTATTCGGAATTGGGTAATTTTTTATAACATTTATTTTGTCTGGGTTAGGCTTAACGCCTTCGGGTGTAATAATGTGACCTAAGTATGCGACTTATTTGCGAAGAAATTCGCATTTTTCTAATTGAACTTTGAAATTAGATTGCCTTAAACGGTCAAAAACAGATTTTAATCTTTCTATGTGTTCTTGAAGAAATGTCGAAAAATTACAATGTCGTCTAAATAAACTAAGCAAGTTTCGTTGTGTAATCCTCTTATTATATTATACATCACTCTCTGAAAAGTTGAGGGTGAGTTTCGAAGTCCAAAGGGCATTCTTTTAAATTCGTAGTGTCCGTTTTGTGTCGAAAAATTTGTTTTAGATATGTCGTCTTCGTGCATTTGGATTTGGTGGAATCCGCTTGCTAGGTAAAGTGTTGTGAAATATTGGCTTTTGCCTAGTTTGTCTAAAATTTCTGTTATGTTTGGTAAGGGGTATTTGTCGGGTATAGTTTTTTCATTAAGTTTTCTGTAGTCTATAACTAGGCGGAAATTTCTTTTTCCTGATTTATTAGGACGTTTAGGAACAATCCAAATAGGGGAAGAAAATGGAGAATTTGAGGGTTGAATGATACCTTGGTCTAACATTTTTTTAATTTGACTTTTGACTTCCTCTTTGTAAACTTCAGGATATCTGTACGTTTTAGTAAATATGGGTGATTCATCAATTAATTTTATTCTATGTTTAATTTGATTAGTAAATGATAGGGGAATATCTTCACAATAAAATATATCGCGATATTCAAAGCATACATTTTCAATTGCGTATTTTTCCTCTAAATTACAATGATTTAAGTCAATATTTTTTAAATTATCTTTTAAGAGATTATCATGACATTTTTCAATGTCCTGATCAGTTTCCATTTTTTCTAAGAAATTAATCTCGTTAATGTTTATATTTTCTATCTCTAAATGTTCTAAGAATTCTAATTTTGCAGGTTTAGTGTTTGAATTTATTATAGTAGTTGGGGCAAAATAATTTTGTACGTTAACTAGAGCAACAGGGGATTCAACAAGAGGAGAATATTTTTTATAATCTAGTAATCCGACACCTTCTTTCATGTTTACGGGTATTTTGACTATTTGTTGAGTTCTAGGAGGTATAACTAAATGATAATTTTTAAATTGAATATTTTAATTGGAACTTGTATCGTCTTCACTTTCATACACAATAGGAATTTTTACATACGGGATAGTCATAGTTTTTAAACTTACGTTTACAGAGGCTTTTAATTGTTTTAATAAATCAATTCCAATTAAACCATCGTATTTATCACTAAATTCGAATAGATAAAATTTATGATGTTCTAAGACATTAAAAATTTGAAAAACAGGTATATTTACTACCTCGTCATGATATGATATATTATGAGCACTTTGAATACAAAAATTTTCTTTAAAAATATTGTTGTAGTGAAACCCATATGCTAAATCCGGTTTAATTAAACTACGAGTTCTTCCGGTATCGATCAAAAAATTGGCATTAAGTTCGGGGATGAAGATATACGGTAAATTGTTCCTAGATAAATTTAAATTTATTATGTAAGATTCTTCTTTGGTGAAGTCTCCTGACGAAAATTTACATCACCGGAGTTATTTTGATTTGCTGAATTTTGAGGAGTATCATTAAATGGTAAATTATTGTGTTCATTTTCGAAAAAAGCGGTATCTTGTTGATTATAGCTATAATTATTGAAATTGTCATAACTTTCGTAATCATTATTTTCTAAAGAGTTGTCAAATTGTTGATTTATATCATGAGCAAATAGTTCGGTACGAACAAATTTTTTTTGATTTGTTATTCTTGTATTTCCCAAAGAGGTATCCATGGGTTCAGGTTTAGGAAACTTATAATTTGGGTTACGATTTGAAAAATTTCTAAATTGACTTGAATTAGGGCCATTTCTAGTGATATGGCTTTGTTGATTAAAATTACGAAATCTTTGTTGGGGAAATTATTATTATTATTGTTAGATCTCCATTGCATTTGGGAAGTTTGAGGAGCAGGGCGATTAAAATTAGAATTGTTGAAATTATAACCAGAGTTTGGTTAAAATTGAATTGGTTGCATCGACGATTGTTGCGGGGGTATATGTTGATTATTTGGTTGTCTATTTTGAAAATTAGGAGGATAGAAATATTGGGAAAGTTGTGGGCGAACATTTTGCGGATTTTGTCGAATTATTTTAGGACTTGTTCTATAATTTTGATTAATTAAAGAATTATTTCTATTTTGACTGTATAGGAAATTTTCTTCTTCAATGACTAAGGACATTGCTCTTTCTAAACAATCAGGATTACGTAGACGCACATTATTTTGTAATTGGCCTGTTAAGCCCCTAATATAAGTCTTAAGAGCCAATTCATTATAATTATTAATTTTTACTCTTTTTTCATCAATTGTCTCATTACTTGAATTTAATTTACCTATTAATAAACTACGCGCTTCTTGGCAGCGCATGCCAAAACTATGCGGCGTTTCATTTCTGTGTGGACTTAATACTATTAGATCTTGGACAAGACAATCTATATTTCTTTGATCACCAAAACTTAATCTAAGGGTTTCTTTAATCTCGTCCCATGTTCTCAATTCAGTTCTTGAACCTATAAGCATTCAAGCTCTACCTACTAATCTACCCATTATAGCTCTTAGGAGAAAACTATTTAACTGCGTGTTTGCTGCTATAAAATTGAACAATAAAACTTTCACAATTATCAATAAAAATATTTAACGTATGCGGATTTCCGTCATAGTGAGGGATAGTATCAATATAAAGTTCAAGCATTTGTTGATTAGTTTTCGCCATCGTTACAGTATTAGTTTGTTCTTGAATATTAACAGCTGATTCAAATAACCCTGTTAATTCTTCTAAAGTATTATCGTCAACCATTAACAAACAAATTTATCTAAATTTAAAATTGTGTTCTAACCAAAACAAATTTTATTCTCTTAATTGATTTGAAAATTACAGCTACGGTATCAAAGATAAAGGAAAAGTATAAAAGGAATTTTTCGACTTACAGTACTATGAAGAAAATTTGCATTTTTTCCCAATAGGATATGTGGGCGATGTGGTCCCTCTTCCCTGGATGGTTTTACAAATTTCTTCTCCAATAGGATATGGACGATTTGGTTCCGTTTCCCTGGACAGCATCTTGAATCTGCACAAAGTATCTTCTGGAGTCACAAGTTCGGTATTGCAAATAAACCGTTAATACGGACCGGTTTCGCGATTTATGTCGAACCGTTTTACAATCCTACTGACTGCGCCAAATAAATGTGATTAAGTCCAAAAGAACTTTTTAAAAACAAATTTCAAGAATATAAATTTTATTAACTCTTACTACATTGAATTCTAAATTAATAATGAATCGTTTCTCATAAAATAATAGAAAGGTGGAATGAACGTGAGAATGCAAGCTTGCATTCTTCTGGCATCAAGTTACACAGAGTTCGCTGTACTGCGACCATAACTGGTATATGAATAAATTGTCGCTTTTTAATTTTTTTTTTTTTTAACCGTGGTATCATAATTTTAATTAAATATGTTCAGGTGATAAGGGTGACTATGGTGAAGCAGGTATACCAGGTGTGTCAGGATTACCGGGACCAACTGGTGATAAAGGAGATCCTGGTATCGATGGAGGTATAGGTCCTGTCGGCCCGCCTGGATCTAAGGGAGACAAAGGTGAAAGAGGACCACCGGGTACCATTTTGACGACGGAAGGTGCAGATAAGATAGTGACTGTAAAGGTTAGTCTTAAAATACAGTTAGTTTATATCTCTTAGTTTGGTTGGATATCTATAAGTAAACAACAATTTTTGTTTTCAAAATAAGAATTTGAAGATTTATTTACTCAAATAGTGTAAAATAGAGTAAAAGTCAGAATTCATTTTTCGCTAGGGACAAAAAGGTGATATGGGTAAAAGAGGCCGAAGAGGTAAGCCAGGTCCTGTAGGGCCACCAGGAAAGCCAGGACAACTTGGAGACATCGGATTACCGGGATGGATGGTAAGTACCATTACTTTATAAATGGAACTAAATATCTTGATATTCATAATGTTGATCATATGTTAATACAAACAAAATTATAATTACATGCTGCACAACAGAATTCTAAAGTGAGTCGTTGCTCTCTTATTTAAGATATACTTTTTATAATTAATAATTACTTTTGAAAGATCAGTCTGAAGTCATTTAATTTATACGTCCACACCAAAGTTTAATAAACACTTGTTTATATAGAAAAAGGTAATAAAAATTAAAACCTTTTTTAGCTGGCTTGCCAAATAAAATTCATTCATGCATTTTTTAAAGGATTTTCAATGATTTTCACACTAAAAGAATCACAAAAATTTAAATGATTGTTGCGATATAAAAGTAAACTCAGAAACGTACATGTTATAAAGAATAACCTATAAGAAAAAAATTCAAAAGTCCAAAATAAAGGAAACTAAAAAGATATAATTAAATCAACTGAAACAATTGCTTTTAAAAACAGTAGGAGCAACAAAAAGATATAAAATTTAAAAAAAAAACAAAATAAAAAATATAATTATTTAATATTATTTAATATGGAAATTCAGTGCTTCTGGAATAGTAGCTGCTTTTTTTAGTCCTACCATTCAATTCAATTATTATTGAAGCCGAACTTAATAGTCTAATAGTATACTTTGTCCACGACCATTATGGTTTCTTTATTAAATAAAAGTTAAGTGTAGAATTGAAGGTTTTAATAATCTGTTGTTTTTTCGACTTTTCGATTTTTCGTTTTTATCGATTTTTCAATTTTCGATTTTTCGATTTTTCGATTTTTCGATTTTTCGATTTTTCGATTTTTCGATTTTTCGATTTTTCGATTTTTCGATTTTTTGATTTTTCGATTTTTCCATTTTTTGATTTTTCGATTTTTCGATTTTTCGATTTTTTCGATTTTTCGATTTTTCGATTTTTCGATTTTTCGATTTTTTGATTTTTCGATTTTTCGATTTTTCGAATTTTCGATTTTTCGATTTTTCGATTTTTCGATTTTTCGATTTTTCGATTTTTCGATTTTTCGATTTTTCGATTTTTCGATTTTTCGATTTTTCGATTTTTCGATTTTTCGATTTTTCGATTTTTCGATTTTTCGATTTTTCGATTTTTCGATTTTTCGATTTTTCGATTTTTCGATTTTTCGATTTTTCGATTTTTCGATTTTTCGATTTTTCGATTTTTCGATTTTTCGATTTTTCGATTTTTCGATTTTTCGATTTTTCGATTTTTCGATTTTTCGATTTTTCGATTTTTCGATTTTTCGAATTTTCGAATTTTTCGATTTTTCGATTTTTCGATTTTTCGATTTTTCGATTTTTCGATTTTTCGATTTTTCGATTTTTCGATTTTTCGATTTTTCGATTTTTCGATTTTTCGATTTTTCGATTTTTCGATTTTTCGATTTTTCGATTTTTCGATTTTTCGATTTTTCGATTTTTCGATTTTTCGATTTTTCGATTTTTCGATTTTTCGATTTTTCGATTTTTCGATTTTTCGATTTTTCGATTTTTCGATTTTTCGATTTTTCGATTTTTCGATTTTTCGATTTTTCGATTTTTCGATTTTTCGATTTTTCGATTTTTCGATTTTTCGATTTTTCGATTTTTCGATTTTTCGATTTTTCGATTTTTCGATTTTTCGATTTTTCGATTTTTCGATTTTTCGATTATTCGATTTTTCGATTTTTCGATTTTTCGATTTTTCGATTTTTCGATTTTTCGATTTTTCGATTTTTCGATTTTTCGATTTTTCGATTTTTCGATTTTTCGATTTTTCGATTTTTCGATTTTTCGATTTTTCGATTTTTCGATTTTTCGATTTTTCGATTTTTCGATTTTTCGATTTTTCGATTTTTCGATTTTTCGATTTTTCGATTTTTCGATTTTTCGATTTTTCGATTTTTCGATTTTTCGATTTTTCGATTTTTCGATTTTTCGATTTTTCGATTTTTCGATTTTTCGATTTTTCGATTTTTCGATTTTTCGATTTTTCGATTTTTCGATTTTTCGATTTTTCGATTTTTCGATTTTTCGATTTTTCGATTTTTCGATTTTTCGATTTTTCGATTTTTCGATTTTTCGATTTTTCGATTTTTCGATTTTTCGATTTTTCGATTTTTCGATTTTTCGATTTTTCGATTTTTCGATTTTTCGATTTTTCGATTTTTCGATTTTTCGATTTTTCGATTTTTCGATTTTTCGATTTTTCGATTTTTCGATTTTTCGATTTTTCGATTTTTCGATTTTTCGATTTTTCGATTTTTCGATTTTTCGATTTTTCGATTTTTCGATTTTTCGATTTTTCGATTTTTCGATTTTTCGATTTTTCGATTTTTCGATTTTTCGATTTTTCGATTTTTCGATTTTTCGATTTTTCGATTTTTCGATTTTTCGATTTTTCGATTTTTCGATTTTTCGATTTTTCGATTTTTCGATTTTTCGATTTTTCGATTTTTCGATTTTTCGATTTTTCGATTTTTCGATTTTTCGATTTTTCGATTTTTCGATTTTTCGATTTTTCGATTTTTCGATTTTTCGATTTTTCGATTTTTCGATTTTTCGATTTTTCGATTTTTCGATTTTTCGATTTTTCGATTTTTCGATTTTTCGATTTTTCGATTTTTCGATTTTTCGATTTTTCGATTTTTCGATTTTTCGATTTTTCGATTTTTCGATTTTTCGATTTTTCGATTTTTCGATTTTTCGATTTTTCGATTTTTCGATTTTTCGATTTTTCGATTTTTCGATTTTTCGATTTTTCGATTTTTCGATTTTTCGATTTTTCGATTTTTCGATTTTTCGATTTTTCGATTTTTCGATTTTTCGATTTTTCGATTTTTCGATTTTTCGATTTTTCGATTTTTCGATTTTTCGATTTTTCGATTTTTCGATTTTTCGATTTTTCGATTTTTCGATTTTTCGATTTTTCGATTTTTCGATTTTTCGATTTTTCGATTTTTCGATTTTTCGATTTTTCGATTTTTCGATTTTTCGATTTTTCGATTTTTCGATTTTTCGATTTTTCGATTTTTCGATTTTTCGATTTTTCGATTTTTCGATTTTTCGATTTTTCGATTTTTCGATTTTTCGATTTTTCGATTTTTCGATTTTTCGATTTTTCGATTTTTCGATTTTTCGATTTTTCGATTTTTCGATTTTTCGATTTTTCGATTTTTCGATTTTTCGATTTTTCGATTTTTCGATTTTTCGATTTTTCGATTTTTCGATTTTTCGATTTTTCGATTTTTCGATTTTTCGATTTTTCGATTTTTCGATTTTTCGATTTTTCGATTTTTCGATTTTTCGATTTTTCGATTTTTCGATTTTTCGATTTTTCGATTTTTCGATTTTTCGATTTTTCGATTTTTCGATTTTTCGATTTTTCGATTTTTCGATTTTTCGATTTTTCGATTTTTCGATTTTTCGATTTTTCGATTTTTCGATTTTTCGATTTTTCGATTTTTCGATTTTTCGATTTTTCGATTTTTCGATTTTTCGATTTTTCGATTTTTCGATTTTTCGATTTTTCGATTTTTCGATTTTTCGATTTTTCGATTTTTCGATTTTTCGATTTTTCGATTTTTCGATTTTTCGATTTTTCGATTTTTCGATTTTTCGATTTTTCGATTTTTCGATTTTTCGATTTTTCGATTTTTCGATTTTTCGATTTTTCGATTTTTCGATTTTTCGATTTTTCGATTTTTCGATTTTTCGATTTTTCGATTTTTCGATTTTTCGATTTTTCGATTTTTCGATTTTTCGATTTTTCGATTTTTCGATTTTTCGATTTTTCGATTTTTCGATTTTTCGATTTTTCGATTTTTCGATTTTTCGATTTTTCGATTTTTCGATTTTTCGATTTTTCGATTTTTCGATTTTTCGATTTTTCGATTTTTCGATTTTTCGATTTTTCGATTTTTCGATTTTTCGATTTTTCGATTTTTCGATTTTTCGATTTTTCGATTTTTCGATTTTTCGATTTTTCGATTTTTCGATTTTTCGATTTTTCGATTTTTCGATTTTTCGATTTTTCGATTTTTCGATTTTTCGATTTTTCGATTTTTCGATTTTTCGATTTTTCGATTTTTCGATTTTTCGATTTTTCGATTTTTCGATTTTTCGATTTTTCGATTTTTCGATTTTTCGATTTTTCGATTTTTCGATTTTTCGATTTTTCGATTTTTCGATTTTTCGATTTTTCGATTTTTCGATTTTTCGATTTTTCGATTTTTCGATTTTTCGATTTTTCGATTTTTCGATTTTTCGATTTTTCGATTTTTCGATTTTTCGATTTTTCGATTTTTCGATTTTTCGATTTTTCGATTTTTCGATTTTTCGATTTTTCGATTTTTCGATTTTTCGATTTTTCGATTTTTCGATTTTTCGATTTTTCGATTTTTCGATTTTTCGATTTTTCGATTTTTCGATTTTTCGATTTTTCGATTTTTCGATTTTTCGATTTTTCGATTTTTCGATTTTTCGATTTTTCGATTTTTCGATTTTTCGATTTTTCGATTTTTCGATTTTTCGATTTTTCGATTTTTCGATTTTTCGATTTTTCGATTTTTCGATTTTTCGATTTTTCGATTTTTCGATTTTTCGATTTTTCGATTTTTCGATTTTTCGATTTTTCGATTTTTCGATTTTTCGATTTTTCGATTTTTCGATTTTTCGATTTTTCGATTTTTCGATTTTTCGATTTTTCGATTTTTCGATTTTTCGATTTTTCGATTTTTCGATTTTTCGATTTTTCGATTTTTCGATTTTTCGATTTTTCGATTTTTCGATTTTTCGATTTTTCGATTTTTCGATTTTTCGATTTTTCGATTTTTCGATTTTTCGATTTTTCGATTTTTCGATTTTTCGATTTTTCGATTTTTCGATTTTTCGATTTTTCGATTTTTCGATTTTTCGATTTTTCGATTTTTCGATTTTTCGATTTTTCGATTTTTCGATTTTTCGATTTTTCGATTTTTCGATTTTTCGATTTTTCGATTTTTCGATTTTTCGATTTTTCGATTTTTCGATTTTTCGATTTTTCGATTTTTCGATTTTTCGATTTTTCGATTTTTCGATTTTTCGATTTTTCGATTTTTCGATTTTTCGATTTTTCGATTTTTCGATTTTTCGATTTTTCGATTTTTCGATTTTTCGATTTTTCGATTTTTCGATTTTTCGATTTTTCGATTTTTCGATTTTTCGATTTTTCGATTTTTCGATTTTTCGATTTTTCGATTTTTCGATTTTTCGATTTTTCGATTTTTCGATTTTTCGATTTTTCGATTTTTCGATTTTTCGATTTTTCGATTTTTCGATTTTTCGATTTTTCGATTTTTCGATTTTTCGATTTTTCGATTTTTCGATTTTTCGATTTTTCGATTTTTCGATTTTTCGATTTTTCGATTTTTCGATTTTTCGATTTTTCGATTTTTCGATTTTTCGATTTTTCGATTTTTCGATTTTTCGATTTTTCGATTTTTCGATTTTTCGATTTTTTGATTTTTCGATTTTTTTTCCATTTTTTTTTTTCGATTTTTCGATTACCTATAAAAAATATTTTCATATCAGTTTAGACATACGTGCTGTCGTGACGTTATACCGTGACTAATGGAGCATTATTCACTAGTGAGTAATGGGTATTTTTATTCTTAAGGAAGTATAAGTATAATGAATGTTTTATAGAACAGTCGTGGACAAAACTAGTTATAAATATAAAGTAAAATCAAAATAATATTAAAGATAATTGAAACAAAGAAATAAATAGACCAAAGAAAATGTAATTATACATAATAATATGTAATCCATAACACAATTATTTTTAATTTCTATTACCTTATTAATGTACTAAACCCATTGTATAGGATGTAACGAAAAAGAAGGTCATCAATTATGCCATATATATTTTTGAGTCAAAAATTATATGCAAAAGTATATACTGTTACGTTTGTTTATTTTAAACAACAGTTTTGTTAAAGGATCTAGAATTTTCTTTCGCCAAAACTAGAAACATTATCACGTTCAATCCGGAATGTACTCGAAAGCGCCTTCGCCATGGTCTTCACCTATATTTGGTCTTAAGGGGTTTAATTATGTATGATAATCGGACAAGTTAAGCCTTAAAGGTCAAATAAGACAGATAAGGACTTGGAGGATTAGATCATGACTGTATAATGAAATGGCTCGCATTACAATACAAATCTATTGTACTGTAATGCGAGCCTGTGTATTGGTAACGTAAAGTACTGCTCAAAAGATTGTAATTGCAATCTGTCGAAAATAACAATTAGCTTTTTGTGGTATTGAACACAAGATTTTTTCTACTGTCAAAAATAAGTCATTATTGAAAGTCAATATAATATAGATAATATTCTTACACATTTAACTACTTGATAACTAGATAAATACCTGCAAATTAAGTTGAAATACCTTGTATAATTTATGACCTACCGTTTTTTATTACACCTTTATATTTATTTAACTAAATGAGTTAGGATCGTTCCATAACAATGACGTTGAATGTAAAAGATGACAAAAGGAATGTTTGTGCTAAAATTTATATGCTGGGCTGTGTTACTTAATTTTCAATATTTACACAAGTTCATTCATTTTTGACTTTTTAAGTAGTAGGTACCCCAGGAAGCATAGCTGTGCTTCTGAAGCTAATTTTCTACAATATTAAATTATTTCAACCAAAATTAAAGAGTAGATGGTACAAAAAAAATAACTAAAAACCTGCATACGTGCCTAGATTTTTAGGGCTGCAATGTTTTCTGACAAAGTTTAAAATTTTCTCATAATTGTTTTATCGAAAATGCTCAATTGACTATTTAGCAATTTTTGCCTTAAGTTAGATATCTTTTCTTTCGATATTTTTATATATCCATATTTTATAATTCGCTATTTTATATTCAATTCAATTGGTATTTTATAATTCGATATTTTATAAATCAATATTTTATAATTTGATTTTTCAATATTTTATAATTCGATATTTTATAAATCCATATTTTATAATTTGATATTTCAATATTTTATAATTGAATAATTTTTTCGTACTACTATCCAATAAATTATGTCTACTTTTTGCTGGGACACTGTATTAAAAAAAAACAATTGACTTTTGCGATCCCTGCGGCTACGTCTTTGAAAGTTATTTTATTTTGTTCCATACTCGTCAGTTGCAATTTGCTATTAATTACATTCCTTATAGGGACGGCCAGGAATACCGGGAGTTCCAGGCAACAAAGGAACAAAAGGAGATGCCGGATCGGTAAGTCTAGAGTTTTTATTTTAATTAGACCATATTTTTACGAGCAACAAGCAGCGTTTAGAAAATCATCCTTGGCGTTGATTACAGGCAGGATATTCTTTGCTAATTTTAAAAGTATTGTAATTTAATTCATTTTTGGGACTTATATTTATTTCTCCATCATGCTTTAGTACGATTGTTTAAGACTTTTAAATTAAACCATTCGGAACCAATAATCACATGTTTTCACTGAGAGGCACGACACATTATCCGACGTAATCCCGTTTAATTTTTTGTAGGTAATACAAAAAAGACTGTAAGGTAAGGTTAAATAATTATGCTTCACATCCTTGTTAGTGAAAATAAAGATAACCATGTAGTATACCTATGTTACGCCGCTGACATGTTTAGATTTAAAATTTTACGTCACTTTTTATCTACATTACTCATTACCAATTGTTGTGTCGCCTGACTCACATCGTTAAACCGACCACATTTCAGCGATTATAAAAACATGAGTAAAAACTATCGAAAACGCAAATCGTATTAGAAATACGATAAATTGAAAAAGAAGTGAAGGAATTCAGAGCACAGGTAGGAAAATAATGTTTTTCTTTTTATTTAACTGATTTTTAGCTTGCAGAAAATACTACTTTATGTGTAAATTTCTGCATTTAGACGACAAATATACAGAAGATATTACTTTATGTGTTAACGGTGCAGTCTGCAAAACGAAAAATGCTACTTAATGTGCAAATTTCGCAAAACTTTGATGATGGAAGATACTACTTTATGTGTAAATTCTGCATTAAAGACAAAGACATGTACAGAGAAGGCTACTTTATGTGTTACCTAACTCTGATTTTATACTTGTACAGGTTTGAGAATGGTTTTCTTCATATTTAATTGATTTTTAGCTTGCAGAAGATACTGCTACTGTAAATTTCCGAATTTAGACGACATATAAATATGCAGAAGATACAAATATGCAGAGCGAAAATGCGACTTTATGTGCAAATTTCGCATATTTTTTTGTAGCAAAAAATATTACTTTATGTGTAAATTCTGCAAATAACAAATTATACAGAGGATGCTACTTTATGTGTTAACTCTGATTTTATACTAGTACAGGTTTAAAAATGGTTTTCTTTATAATTTAATTGATTTTTAGCTTGCAGAACATACTGCTTTACTGTAAATTTCAGAATTTAGACGACATAAATATATGCAGAAGATACAAATATGCAGAGCGAAAATGCGACTTTATGTGCAAATTTCGCATATTTTTTGTGGCGGAAAATACTACTTTATGTGTAAATTATGCAAATAACAAATTATACAGAGGAGGCTACTTTATGTGTTAACTCTGAGCTAATACATTATGCAAGCCCAGCTAACTGCAATGCAAAAAATGCTACTAAATATGTAAATTTTGTAAAACTTTGGTCGATAAGATACTATTTTATGTGTAAATTATTTAAGCCAAATAAATGTGCACAGAAGGCTACTTTATGTGTTAACTCTGATATCATACTTATAAACTGCAAACTCGGCTAACTGCAACTCGAAAAATGCTACTTAATGAGTAAATGTTGTAAAACTTTGGTTGAGAAGATACTATTTTATGTGTAAGTTCTGCATTTAAGCCAAATAAATCTACAGAGAAGGCTACTTTACGTGTTAACTCTGATCTTATACTTATAAACTGCAAATTCGGCTAACTGCACCGCGAATAATTCTACTTAATGTGTAAATTTCGCAAAACTTTGGCCACAAAAGATAATATTTCATATGAAAATTCTGCATTAGAAACAAATAAATGTACAAAGGAGGCTGATTTATGTATTAAATCTAATCTTATACTTATAAGATTCTAGCCCGGCTAACCGCAATGCGAAAAATGCTACTTAAAGTGTAAACTTCAAAAAACTTTAGAAGCAGAATGTATGTACTATGTAAATTCTGCATTATAGACAAATAAATGTCTGGTAACTCTGATCTTATGCTTATAAAATGCAAGGACGCAAAAATGCTACGCAAAGCTCATTGATTATAAATATGGGTAAATCCTGCACCTTAAAAAAAATGCCCCTTTATGTGCACATGAATTCGCCATTGATTAAATATAGATTTAAGTTGATTCAGAATCAGAATCTAAGAGGTATATACATTAAACTCGTCATCTTTACCCGAACAGACGTCCGAAGAGTAAGGATCAAATTCAGTATCAGGATATTCTGGGAGCGGATCCTAATAGCAACATCTCTCTCGGAAAACCGATCAACGAAGAAATGTTAAAAAGTTAGGAAAATATTTACAAGACGGTTTGGAGAATATCAAAATATCAAAGTTTCTTTGCGAAATCAAAATCTGGAATACTTTCACTTGGGTTCTTCACCTTAAACTCCGAACCAAAAAGTTTAGTGACTGGTCACGTCATCAAATAAAACCAACATTTAATTTATATATGCTGCAAGGCCAACTTGAAAGGTGATGGGAAGTTTAGCTAAACCTCTGTAAGCTAGGTTTGGAGGGAACAGAAATAGACGCATCAAAACAAATGCAAATTTAACAAAAGTATTATCAGATATCTACCATAGAAAATATGCATCGTAGGCACCTTATATATCCGTCTTTAAACACAATTGTGAAAAATATGATAGAAAAAGCAGATATCGATGGTTTTTCATTTTGGAAAGAATCTTGTAGAGATATGGAAGTCAGACAAAGCATTTAAAAAAACTAGCATACATTTAATTTCAATGCACCAACTAAAATCAAACAATAATTTCAATCAGTCTTTAAACTTCAGGCGCCTACTTTTAAATAGCGACTGCAGAAAACCAGGCCAGAGAAAAAGCAGGAGAAATAAAAAAAACCCAAAGGACCAACCAAAAAGTATTCAGAAAAACAGAGAGGGGAGAAGGAGTTATTAGGGAAGGAAATAAAGGTAAGAGAGATTGCTGGTAGACTGAATATTTGTAAAACATGTGGGCTAACTTAACTAATGATAAGAAGGTCCTAAGATATGTTAAAGGTTTTAAATTAATCTTTAAAACACAAAAGAGCTTTCACCAAAGGATGCTTTCACTAAGAGAAAAACTAACCTATACACTTCATTTAAAAAAAAAGTACTATAGAATACAACAGGTGTTTGCTTGCTAAAGAAAATTAGTTTGGTTCTCATATTTTTTAAGGCCCAAATGAAATGATTCATCTAGATTTATCTTTAACAAATATATAGATTCTCGCATTTCAAACTGAAAGATCTCAGGTCTGCCCAGAATATTTTGTTACAGGACATTTTTGTCAAAAATTAAATTAAAGGATGCCTCTTATCTCATCTCAATATATAAAAAATAAGAAAAGTATTGAAAAAAAAGAAAGAAAATAACTTACGAATTTGAGTGTCTTACATTTGGTTTGACCATTTGCTCCATATGTTTTTGCAAACATATTAAAAACGGTAGTGCATCAACTAAGGCTTTTGGAAATAACCTTAATGAGTTCCTAATTACATCTAAATCTAGTGATTAATGTCTCAAACATTGTAATATAACGGTTGATTCTTTACAATCTTTGACTCATCATAAAAAAAAAGTGTATTTTATCTAAAGTGTGCGAGAACTCGATTGTTACGTAGCTAATGCATTTCTTGTATAAGTACTAAAATTAGAAAGACCAAGCAGAGGGCATAGTGATTGTACCAAAATGGGAAAATCAACCATTCCATGTTACAAAAAATAAATAAATAAATAAATAAATAAATATATAAATGCTTTTTACGGTACATGTCTGCCCTAGCTCTCATTATAAATAGTCTTTAACTTTCATTATAGAAATCCTGAATAATAAAGGAAAATGTATAGTAAGCAATTTCTAAAAGGGTCATTCTATTTTGCCAAAATGTATTCAAGCTTGACATCAAAACACAGTTTTAAAATACTTCAGTAGTTTCTTTTAGTTGAAAAACTTAAAACAGCTAAGAGCCAAACTTATGCTTGCAGCCCAACGGGTAAAGACTTTCTCAAAAATTAAAGTTGAAAATGAAGGTGGAAGCTAACAATATACAAATTTTCATTGACGAAATGCTTAAACCTCGAGTCTAGCCTTTATTAGTATTTTCATTCCCCCACGAATTACCTCATTTATGCTCGGCACAAACAATTTTTATTTTATGGAAAAAAAAGTCTCACAGGTCTTCAGGACCTTTTATTCTAACCACTAACGCTCCAGTCTATCCAGTATCTCCCCAAACTATTGGGTGGGTAGCCCAAGCCCTTAGTACATATACGTATGTACCTACCTCGACCGTCCTCATAATCTGTGTCAATATCGAAACCATTAGAAAAATTATAGGACAAAGAGATCAGTAGTGTTTAACAAGTTTTACAATTAAGACGTAAAACCAAAGTTCACAAAAGTATTAAAATATTATAAAACTGGATTGTTAAAATTCAATTTTATTTTTTGTTACGTTGGTTAATGATTAATTCATTGGTATTATTATTAATTATTATTGTTAATTTTGTGGGAAATTTATATAATAATATTTTTTTGCATGTTCTATTGTATACATTTACATAGAAAGCAAAAATCTAGTTTTATTTTAAATAGAACATCCTCTAAACAACTACATGGTTATCTTTATTTCCACTAACAAGGATGTAAAGCATAATTAATGGATCAAACGACTTACCTGAAGGAAGTTCGATCCTAATTATGCGATCATCCTTGTTAGTGGAAATAAAGTCCCACCTCCACCATATTTATATTATTTTTAACCCCAAACTCCTAGGCTCCACAACAGGTAATAAATAATATAGATAGAGAGTAACGTAAAATTTTAAATCTAAACATGTGGGTCAGCGGCGTAACATAGGTATACTATATGGTTATCTTTATTTCCACTAACAAGGATGATCGCATAATTAGGATCGAACTTCCTTCAGGTAAGTCGTTTGATCCATTAAATTTGACCCCCGTTTTCTACAGTTGAAATTTATATGTGCCTATCGTGT